TCGGCAGGTCACCCTAGGGACTGAACTCTCAGCTTTACAACTAAGCTACTAAGTCATCTCCCAGGCCCCTATTTAACTCTTTTTTGTTCTTGGGCCACACCTGGTGGTGCTCTGAGTTCCTAGCTAGTATTCCTAGCTCTGAGTTCAGGAATACTCCTGGCAGGCGTGGGGGACCATAGAGGGATTAAACTCAGGTCAGCCACATGCAAGGCAAGCACCCCAGCCGCTGTACCACCACTCCAGCCTCTTTTTTAACTGTTTACAAGAGCATTTTCTCAGGGCTGGAGGGAGTGGCAAATGAGGCATGTGCTTTGCACACGGCTAACCCACATTCAATCCCTGGCACCACACCGGACAGGAGTGACCCCTGAGTGCGGAACCAGGAGTAAGCCCTGAGTGCTGTGGCTGCAGAAGGGAGGGCTGAGTGCTGCTCCGGGTGGCCTCTGGCGTCCTCTCTGCTGTTCATCTCTGACAGTCTGGGAGGCTGCTAAACTCAGAACATTCCCATCACCCCAAGTTTCCTCTGCCCCTTCTCAGGAGTCCAAACACACGTGAATACAGGCACATGCCAGGCACAAACTACATACAAACAACATGTGAGTTCACACACATGCACAGGCATGCACACACACCATTCACGCCTCATGGAAGCCACGCATGCGCACACTCTCCCTGGTGCCCCTTACTACGTCTGGAACAGCAGCCCAGCTGGCATGACCGAGCCGACCGTCTTTGATGCCTGTGTCTCCTGGCCACATGTCCTGCTCTTATGGGAGAGACTTTGCTCCTTCCCGTTGCTCAGCCAGCGAGACCCGTGCATAGAGACTTCTGGGGTCTCTTCTGGGAGCACCCCTACCCTGCTTAGGGTTAGAAGACAGCTGAAGCTGGGGTGGGGGCAGAGGTGGCTGTGGGGAGGATCATTCCATGTTGGACTGCATGAAAGAATCGAGCTGGTTTTTCCATAGGATCTTCCAATGGGGAAAATGTTGACAAGTGGGAACGGACTGGAGCAGGGAGGGTGTGTGCCTTGACTGTGCTGACCCAGGCTCAATACCAGGCACCCTATAAAGTCTCAGGAGTGAGTGCAGAGCACCACTGGGTGTGGTCCCCTACAAAAAACAGGGCTGGAGAGATGGTGAAGGGTTTAAGATTCTGGCCTTGTACACAGTCGACCTGGGTTCAATCCCTGGCATCCCATAGGGTCCCCTAAGCCCTGCCAGGAGTGAGCCCCGAGAACAGGGTCAGGAGTGATACCCGAACACAGAACCAGGAATGAGCCCTAAGCACAGAACCAGGAGTGGGCCTTGATCACGGAGTCAGGATTGAGCCCTGAGCACAGAATCAGGAGTCAGCCCTGAGCACAGAGCCAGGATTGAGCCCTGAGCGCAGGGTCAGGAGTGAGCCCCAAGAACAGAACTGGGAGTGCACCCTGAGCACAGAGTCAGGAGTCAGTCCCCAGCACAGAACTGGGAGTGAGCCCTGAGCACAGAGCTGGGAGTGAGGGCTGAGCACCGCTGTGTGGTCCCACACTAGCTGGAAGCTCAGGGGCCTTCAGGCCCAGCCCACTGATGTGCCCCCGCCCTGCCTGCAGGTGATTCGGACAGACACCTTCAAGCACCTGCGGCACCTGGAGATCCTGCAGCTGAGCAAGAACCTAGTGCGCAAGATCGAGGTGGGCGCCTTCAACGGGCTGCCCAGCCTCAACACGCTGGAGCTGTTCGACAACCGGCTGACCACGGTGCCCACGCAGGCCTTTGAGTACCTGTCCAAGCTGCGAGAGCTCTGGCTGCGCAACAACCCCATCGAGAGCATCCCCTCGTACGCCTTCAACCGCGTGCCCTCGCTGCGGCGCCTGGACCTGGGCGAGCTCAAGCGGCTGGAGTACATCTCGGAGGCGGCCTTCGAGGGCCTGGTCAACCTGCGCTACCTCAACCTGGGCATGTGCAACCTCAAGGACATCCCCAACCTGACGGCGCTCGTGCGCCTGGAGGAGCTGGAGCTGTCGGGCAACCGGCTGGACCTCATCCGGCCCGGCTCCTTCCAGGGCCTCAGCAGCCTGCGGAAACTCTGGCTCATGCACGCGCAGGTGGCCACCATCGAGCGCAACGCCTTCGACGACCTCAAGTCGCTGGAGGAGCTCAACCTGTCCCACAACAACCTGATGTCGCTGCCCCACGACCTCTTCACGCCCCTGCACCGCCTCGAGCGTGTGCACCTCAACCACAACCCCTGGCATTGCAACTGCGACGTGCTCTGGCTGAGCTGGTGGCTCAAAGAGACGGTGCCCAGCAACACGACGTGCTGCGCCCGCTGCCATGCGCCCGCCGGCCTCAAGGGCCGCTACATCGGCGAGCTGGACCAGTCTCACTTCACCTGCTACGCACCCGTCATCGTGGAGCCACCCACGGACCTCAACGTCACCGAGGGTATGGCCGCCGAGCTCAAGTGCCGCACGGGCACCTCCATGACCTCTGTCAACTGGCTGACCCCCAACGGCACCCTCATGACACACGGCTCCTACCGCGTGCGCATCTCCGTCCTGCACGACGGCACGCTCAACTTCACCAATGTCACCGTGCAGGACACGGGCCAGTACACATGCATGGTGACCAACTCGGCTGGCAACACCACAGCCTCGGCCACACTCAATGTCTCAGCCGTCGACCCCGTGGTGGCTGGCGGGGCGGGGGGGCCTGGGGGAGGACCCGGCGGCCCCAGTGGTGGTGGCAGCGGCGGCTACACCTACTTCACCACTGTGACGGTGGAGACGCTGGAGACACAGCCAGGAGAGGAGGCTCTGCAGCCGCGGGGTACAGAGAAAGAGCCTCCGGGACCCACCACGGATGGCGCCTGGGGTGGCGGGCGGCCAGGGGAGGCGGCGGGCGCGGCCGCCTCGTCCACCACGGCGCCGGCCCTGCGCTCCTCGCGGCCCACGGAGAAGCCGTTCACAGTGCCCATCACGGACGTGACAGAAAATGCACTCAAGGACCTGGACGACGTAATGAAGACCACCAAGATCATCATCGGCTGCTTCGTGGCCATCACCTTCATGGCCGCCGTTATGCTCGTGGCCTTCTACAAGCTGCGCAAACAGCACCAGCTCCACAAGCACCACGGGCCCACGCGCACCGTGGAGATAATCAACGTGGAGGACGAGCTGCCCGCCGCCTCAGCCGTGTCTGTGGCCGCTGCAGCCGCTGCGGCTGGTGGGGCTGGTGTGGGCGGGGACAGTCACCTGGCCCTGCCCGCCCTGGAGCGCGAGCACCTGAACCACCACCACTACGTGGCGGCCGCCTTCAAGGCGCACTACAGCAACCCAGGCGGCGGCGGGGCCAAGGGCCCCGGGGGCCTCAACTCCATCCACGAACCTTTGCTCTTCAAGAGCGGCTCCAAGGAGAACGTGCAAGAGACGCAGATCTGAGGGGCCCTGGAGCCCGCCCCGTCCCACCCTGTGCGCCCCAACTTCTGCCAGGGCAGGGGGCGCTGGGGCAGAGTCCCTCGGTGTCGGCCCGGACAGACACAGGGACTCAGGACCCCCATGCTGCTCCGGGCCCCCCGCCAGCCCGGGGTGAAAGGAGCTTTGTGGAGGGGAACCCTCACCCTTCACCCCAACCACCTCCTTCTCTGACGGTTCATTTTTTGCAGTTTGACGCCTGTTCCTCCCCCCTCTCCCTCTGCCTCACCCCCAAGAGACAGCCAAGCCCCCCCAATGCCCCTGCCCAAGGCACTGAGCCCCTTCTGGCTGCCCCGCCCCAGCCCTCACCTACCCCCCCAGACTCTTTTGATACTGAAGGGAGGTTCGCGTCGACAACTACCTGCTCTGTAATTACTTTAAAAAAACATGGAAAAAGTAAAAAAATATTTTTTTTTTTGGTCATGGAAAGGATGGAGGAGACACAAGTGAAGTGCATTGGGCTGCAGGGTGGGGGTCGGGGAGTGTGTAGAATGGGAGGGTCACGCAGGTTTCCTTCCAGAAAGGGGGGAGCCTCTGGGGAGTCTGGGGTCCTCAGCCCCACCCACCCTTGGGAGCTCCATGGGGAGCCGGCCTGAGACACTGCTGGGGTCATCACCCCACCTCCACCTCTAAGCAGAAGAAAGGGGGTAGGGCTGTTTCCTGGGTCTCTCCTGGGGCTGCCCAGGCCATATATGGACATGGAGGCCAGAGCCATTCCTGGGAATCTTCCCAAATAAGGTCACAGGTCAGCGTTCCTGACTCCAGGTCTCCAAGCCCCACACAGCATCCACGGAGCACACCTGTCCGGTTCGGGCGCTCCAGGATGTGGGGGTGCTCCAGTGACCTTAAGAGGGGTGTGGATTCCCCCAATGTTGACCCCTTCTCCTGCACCACCCCTCCCCAGCTAGCATCCCCCAACTCCCTCCCCCCCACACACACACACAGCTCTCTTATCTCCTTTTCAGCTGCTAAAAGGAGAATTCACCAGGCCTGCCAGCGAATTCCTTCCTTATCTGTGTCCTCACGCCTGCTGGGGCTGCTTCCCAGGGCCCCTCCTGGTGGTCCCAGCACCGTGGTGAGGTGCAGAGTCGCCATATAGGGACTTTCCCCTCATTAGGGGGAGCCCTGGGCTTCCTGGACAGTGGGAGGTGGGGAGGAGAGTGAGGACAGGTGGGGAAGGGGGTGAGCCAGAGGGGCGGGATGGGGGGAGCGTGGGACCACTGAGAGGGGTGGAGTGGGGGGCTCCAATGTTGGAGGTACCAGGGAGCAGCAGTGGACCGAGCAGGGCTGGAGCCCCACAGGAACAGAGTGCAGGACCCAGAGATGAGAGGAGTAAAATGGACAGTGGGTATAAGCCGATGGGGGATGGGGGCAGAGCAGGGTGCCCTCACAGTATCCGGCTTCCATGACAACCTGGGGGTGCTGCAGAACAACTTTCTTGAGGCAAGGCGGGCAGAGTCCCCCAGCCCTAAACCCTCAGACCCGCTCCCCAGCGCTCCCCAGGTTCTGGCGGGAAGGGGGCGGGCAGAGGAGTCCAAGGGTCCAATGTCCGAAGGTCAGGCAGGCCCATGGTGAGGAGGGCACCCGGCTCAGGCATGGCCCCTGACAGCGGCCCGCGGAGAGTGGGGGTGCTGGGCTTCGGCCGCCTCGGTGAGTCCTGACCCCTTCCCACAGCCCCAGATCCGGGACCCCAACACTCCACGGTCAGTCTTGTGAGTGGGTGCACTGCAGACGCCTGTTCCCCAACCACTGAATCTGCAGCCCACCACTTGCCTTTCAGAACCTGTCCCTCCCCAGAGTCTCTGTCCCCCTCTCTGGGTCTCGGTCCCCCTCTCTCTGGGTCTCTGTTCCCCGAAGTCTCTGATTCTCTCTCTGGGTCTCTGTCCTTTTCTCTGGGTCTGTGCCTCTCTCTCTCTCTCTGGGTCTCTGTCCCCGTCTGTCTTCTAAATCACTGTCCTCCCCAGGACAGTCCCTCGTCTCCCACCTGCTGAGTCAGGGTCAGGACCTGGGCTTGGAGCTGGTCTTTGTCTGGAACCGGAACCCCGAACACATGGCAGGACAGGTGCCGCAGTCCCTGCAGCTCAAGAACCTGGCTGCCCTGGGGGAGAGGTCAGTGGCCACCCCAAAGCCCAGTCCCAGCCCTTCCGGGTCGCTGGGAATGGGACACCCTTGGCCTTCCTCTCTGGGGGCGGCAGGGGGACGCGACAGGCACTGAGAGACCCACAAGGGCCGAGCATCTCCCCAAGAGCCGCCGGGGTCTCCCCCTCGCCCAGGCACCCGGATCTCGTAGTGGAAGTTGCTCATCCCAAAATAGTGCAGGAATTTGGGCCTGGGATCCTGGAGCACGCCAACCTGCTGGTGAGCCCCCCCTTCCCGCCCCACTCCCCCTCCAGGGGCAGCCACCCTGGCTGCCTGACCTCAGCACCCCCAAACTGCACTACCCCAGGTGGGGTCCCCCTCGGCCCTGGCTGATGCCAACACCGAAAAGCGGCTCCTGGAGGCGTCGCGCCGCTGGGACCACTCCGTGTTCGTGGCCCGGGGGGGCTCTGTGGGGGACCGAGGACATCGCCCGGCTGGACGCGGCCGGGGGCCTCCAGGTGAGGTGCTGGGCTCCCGCGACGGGGCGGGGGGTCCGGGCAGGGCAGCCCGCGGTCGCCCTGACCCGTCCCCACCCCTAGAGCCTCCGCGTGACCATGGCCACGCACCCCGACGGCTTCCGGCTCGAGGGCCCCCTGGCCGCGGCGCGCTGCTCGGAGCCGCGCACGGTGCTCTACGAGGGCCCGGTCCGCGGCCTCTGCCCCTTCGCGCCCCGCAACTCCAACACCATGGCGGCCGCCGCCCTGGCCGCGCCCAGCCTGGGCTTCGACGGCGTCGTCGGGGTGCTGGTGGCCGACCTCAGGTGAGCCGCCGGGCGGGCACGGGCGGCGGGGGGCGGCGCCCCGCGCGCTGACCGCCCCGCGTCCCCAGCCTCACCGACAGGCACGTGGTGGACGTGGAGCTGCGCGGACCCCCGGGCCCCTCGGGCCGGAGCTTCGCCGTGAGCACGCGCAGAGAGAACCCCGCGCAGCCGGGCGCCGTCACGGGCTCGGCCACCGTCACCGCCTTCTGGCGCAGCCTCCTGGGTGCGCAGGGCGCGGACCCCTTCTCCCTGGCCCCTTCCTCTCCGTCGCCCTGACCGCCACCTGGCACCCGGCCTCTGTCCGGGCGCGTCCCTCCCCCTCGCTCGGGCGGCCCTCCACGCGCCACTTCTCTGGGCTCTCGGCCTCGCTTTCCTTTTTGTCACCACACCCGGCGGGGCTCGGGGGACGACCACCCGGGGTGCCGGGGCTCGGACCCACGTCGGCCACGTGCACGGCCGACGCCCGCCCGCGCGCCCTGCTCTTCACTCCTCCGTCTCCCCGCAGGTTGCTGCCAGCTTCCCGCCAGGCCCGGGATCCACCTCTGCTGAGGAGGCTGCGCCTCTCCCCACCCCCCCGCCCCGTCGCGCTGCGGCCTGGGTCTCGGTGTCCCCGGGTAGCCCCAATAAAGAGAAGCGGCGGTCTCCCTCCCAGGATTCCTTGCGGCCTTATTGGGACGCCGAGCGGCATCTTCGCACCCCGCGCGACGCCCTCGGAGGGGGAGGAGCTCGGCGGAACGCTCGGTCGCCAGCTCTCGCGAGAGTGTCCCCACGCTCTGGCCGCGGGGCTCAGCGCCGCAGAGGACGCGCGCGTGCGCGAAGGGCTGGGCCCGGCCAGCGTCCGCCGCAGGGGCCGACGGGAGTTGTAGTGTCGTATCCCCTCGTCGCGGCCGGAGACTTCCAGGCAGCCTCGGAGGGGCCGCGTGGAGCCCGCGTCGTCCCGGGGGTTGCCGGGAGTCGTAGTCCCGGCCCGCGGGGCCCGCCGGGAGCTGTAGTCCGCCCCGCCTGCCCCGTCAGCGCCGTGCGCCTAGCCGGGCACTCGGATCCCAAGAGCCGCCGCCCAGGGGGATGCGGGAGCCCCTGGTTCCGGGGAGCAAAGAGGCAGGCGGGGGTGAGGGGCGTTGCCAGGCAACGGGCGAGCTCGGGGGTCGGGGCCGGGGCTCGAGCGCTCGGGGGACGGGGCCCGGTTGCCAGGTGACAGGAAGAGAGAAGCCTGTAGTGAAGCGACAGGGGCGGGGAGTCGCCTGTTGCTAGGCGACCGGGGAGACCCCGCTGCCGGGAGACGGGAGGTGGCGGCCCCCCATTGCTAAGGAGCCGAAGCCGCGATGCTCTCCCGGATGCGGCCAGGGGTGGGGGGCGTCCTCGGTAGCTGGGTAACCACCCGGGACCCTTTGCCCGGGGAGTTGAGTTGGGAGGGGCCGCAGGGGCCCCTTCTCTTGGGATGGGTGCAAGGCAGAGGGCGTCTGTCGCAAGGGAGGCAAGCGCGAGCTTTTTTCCTCGGAGTCGGGGGGAGGTGGGCCGTGGCCCAGGGAGCGGCGACGAGAGGCACTGCCCTCCTGGGCTGCCCGGCCCCTGCCTCAGCGGAAGCCCGGGGCGGGGGTGGGGGCGGGGGGCGGCGGGGAAGGCTCAGACTCCCAGACTGGGGCCGCTGATCCCGACTCTGTGCCCCTCGCCCCCCGCAAGCAGGAGCCAAGGACGGCATGTCCCAGGCCCCGGCAGCGCCGCCCCCCAGCCCGCCCTCGGTGTACCACGAGCGGCAGCGCCTGGAGCTGTGCGCCGTGCACGCCCTCAACAACGTCCTCCAGCAGCGGCTGTTTAGCCAGGAGGCTGCCGACGAGATCTGCAAGAGGTGACGGGCGCCACGCTCCCCCCACCGCACCCCTCCCTCCAGGGTCCCCGCCACCCCTGCCACGTCCCCAGCCATCCCCCAGCCTCTGCAGTCTGGGGGCAGGGGGGCCTCTTGGGCACGGCCGGCCCGGCTTTCTGTGCCCAGGCAGTCCCAGACGCCAGCTCCAGGGCGCCTGCCCTCCGCCAGGCCTTTGCTTGCCTGTGCTCTGTGCCTGGCATGGTTCCCTGCTTTGGGCCGTCTGGAAGGGCCTTCCTGCCGCTTTCAGATATCAAAAGCGTGTTTATCTGGCCAACACATCCCACCCCCTGCCCTCCCGTCCCCACCCGCCCAGTTTCTCTCCTCCAAAGCCCCCGCCCCCACTCCCCGCCTGACCCTCCCCCCCTTCCCTGGTGCTCAACTCTGCCACACTATGCTTTGTCCAGGCCCACAGACTGTTTTCGACAGAATTTATGCAACAATGGGGGGGGGGGAGTGTGGTGCGCAGCTTTGAGGGGTGGGGGAAGAGCCCCCATGAAGCCTTCTCCATGCCTGCAAAGACACTGCAGTTCACTGCTCCTGCCGAGGAAACAACGAAGCTGTGGTTTAGAGGCTAGGCGCAGGGCCCAAGGGGGGGGGGGGGCGGGGCAGGGCACTCCTCCCCCAAGCTGCAGGACAGCTGCAAGCACTCCGGAGCAAGGGGGTGAGCTGGGAACAGGTGTCCAGGAGGCTGGGCCTCAGGGTCTGGCTGAGTCAGGGGACTTGACCCAGAGGGGCTGAGGTCCAGGGGGGACAGGGGCAGTGCAGAGAGTCCCTATACTGGGGGGACAGGAGGGCAGGGCTGGGGGCCGTCCACTAGGCAGGTTCTCACAGGCCCTGGACGCTCCTTCTCTGCAAGTTGCACAAAGGCTCCCCCTTTCCAAGAGTTGCCCTCCACCCCGGCTCTCGCCTTTCCTCGACCAGGTTGGCCCCAGACTCCAGACTGAACCCCCATCGCAGCCTCCTGGGCACCGGCAACTATGACGTCAATGTGATCATGGCCGCTCTGCAGGGCCTGGGCCTCGCCGCCGTGTGGTGGGACAGGAGGAGGTGGGACCAGAGCCCTCGCCACCTCACCAGGGAGCTGGGGGGGTTGCCAAGGGCGGAAGGAACGGGCAGTGGGTGGCTGCCTGGCAGGGGGCACCTGAGGGGCCACACCCAATTGTTCCTGACTCTGCTCAGTGGCACCCAGCCCTGGAGGGGGCTGTGATGGGGAATGAGGGGAGGCAGGGCTGGTGGGAGGAGGATGGCAGAAGGCTGGTGAGTGGCCCTTGGCTCTGAGGGAGAGGAGAGGAGGGAGGGCAGAGAGCGGGGTGGGCAGGGACCACAAAATTGGCTGCCGGCTTAGTGAAGGGTGGGGAAATGGATGGACAGACAGGTGACGGATAGAAAGTTGGACAGTGTAGGGGCTGGAGCCATAGCACAGTGGGTAGGGCATTTGCCTTGCACACGGCCAACCTGGGTTCGATTCCCAGCATCCCATATGGTCCCCTGAGCACCGCCAGGAGTAATTCCCGAGTGCAAAGCCAGGAGTAACCCCTGTGCATTGCCGGGTGTGACCCAAAAAGAAAAAAAAAGTTGGACAGTGTATGGACAGATGGTACATGGATGGATAGAGGGATGGACAAACAATGGCCAGTTCGGATGAATGGTTCATGGATAGATGGAAGGTGGATGGGTGGGTGGGTGGGTAGCTTGGTGGGTAGGTGGTTTGATGGGTGGGTGATGGTGGGTGGGTGGTAGCGGCTGGCAGGGTTGGGGCGATGGTGGTGGGTGTCTGGAGAGTGGGGGCAGCTAGGCGCCCCCTCGTGCTGACGCGCTGCCCCTGCCTCCTGCCCACATGCAGGCCCCTGTCCCAGCTGGTGCTGCCGCAGGTGCTGGGGCTGATTCTGAACCTGCCGTCGCCTGTGTCTCTGGGGCTGTTGTCCCTACCGCTGCGCCGACGCCACTGGGTGGCCCTGCGCCAGGTGGGGGGCATCTACTACAATCTGGACTCCAAGCTGCGGGCGCCAGAGGCCCTGGGGGACGAGAGCGGCGTCAGGTGAGGGACCGGGCAGCCCGGCCCTGTCACGCGGCAGTGCCCGGCCCAGAGACTCAGTCTCCCCGTTTCTCTGTTCAGGGCCTTCCTGGCGGCGGCGCTGGCCCAGGGTCTGTGCGAGGTGCTGCTGGTGGTCACCAAGGACGTAGAAGAGCAGGGCTCCTGGCTGCAGGCCGGCTGAGCTGCCCCCCGCTCCCAGCCCCTCCTGGACCCCTCCCCACACCACTGCTGCCTCAATAAATCTGTCACCTGCTGGGTTCTCGACTTGCTTCCTGCCCCGAGACCCCTGGACAACACGCCCCACCTGCACCCTGGCCAGGAGCCTGGAACACCGTCTGTTCGCCAGCAGCAGATGCTGGGGGTGGCGCGAGCACATGGGCCCCGCGAGGGCAGAGGCCTCCACGGCAACCCCCGGGGCCAGGCTGCCTCCTGAGCTATTCAGAGTATAATGGGGGCCCAGAGGGGCTTAGGGAGGGTGCGGGGGGGCACATAGCCCAGGCCAGCGACCCTGAGCAGAGGCAAGCCTACTGAATCGTGCCCCCGGGGTGCTGGGCACCAGGGTACGGGGTGGCGAGAACTTTCCAGAATCGGAAGTGGCCCTGGAGGAGCCAGAAGCTGGGGCAGGGTGCAGGGAGCTCTCCTTGGGGGGCAGCGGGGAGCTTGTGCAGGGGCATAGGTCAGGCAAGCTGGGTGCAATGCAGACTGATGCCCGCCCGGGGCAGCGGGCAGGACTGTCGTCGGGAGGGGGACAGGGTTGTCGAGGCTGATGGGAGGCAAGTGTAGGGGCAGAGCCCCAGGAGGAGGTTGTGTGGCCCCCATGGGAAGGCGGGGGGCCCTGGAACTCTGGCGGGGCCTGGGGGGGAGTAGGCAGCGAGGGAGGGGCAGAAGCGTGGCAGGAACTGGGGGCGCCGGGCTACAGTCTCCCCTTTGCTGGGGGGACACCCCGAGATGTCAAGACACTGCAGGGCCAGCGCCCCAACACTGGGGTGGTGCTGACTGGCTCCAAGTCTCTGTCCAGGTCCTTCTGGAAGCTTCCCTTGCCCCTCCCGCCCCAGACAGCCTGGCGGGCCTCAAGAGCTTCTATTCTTGGCCCAGCACGGAGGGCCTGTGGCCTAATATGGTGGTGCTGGGAGTGGGCTGGGGACCCCCCCACTCTGCAGGTGACGCCACTGCATGCAGGGTGGGCTGGGCAGGACAGTGGCACGTCCTGACCCTCACGTGTGGCCAAGCGGGGCTGGGCTGGTCAGGGCTGCTGCTCTCCATCCCCCCCGCCTTGCCGGGTTGGGGGAAGGGGCTGCGCTGGTCAGAGCAGGTGTGGGGACAGCTGCCCTGCCCCGTGCTGACAGCTGAGGCCCGATTTAGCTCAGGAGCCAGATAAGGGGGTGGCCCCGCCCCCAAGAGGCCCCTTAAATCGCCCCCTGGAGAACGGAGGGCGCCCAGCTGACAGCTCAGGTGAGAGAGGCCTCGGCCTCCATGCCAGACCCCTTCTCCCCTCACCCCCTCTCCTCGCCTCTCCCCCCCTGTCCTCTCCCTCTCTCTCCCTCCTTCTACTCTTTCCTTCTCTCTCCTTCCCTCTCTCCCTCTCCTCTCCCTCTTTCTCCTCTCCCTCCCTCTCTCCTCTCTCCCTCTCCTCTTTTCCTCTCTCCCTCACTCCCTCTCTGCCTCTCTCCTCTCTCCCTCTCTCCTCTCTCTCCTTCTCCTCTCCCTCTTCCTCCTCTCTTCCTCTCTCTCCCTCCTTCTACTCTTTCCTTCTCTCTCCTTCCCACTCTCCCTCTCTCCCTCTTTCTCCCTCTCCTCTCCCTCCCTCTCTCCTCTCTCCCTCTCCTCTTTTCCTCTCTCCCTCACTCTCTCCCTCTCTGCCTCTCTCCTCTCTCCCTTTCTCTCCTCTCTCTCCTTCTCTCCCTCTTCCTCCTCTCCCTCTCTCTCCTCTCTCTCCCTCTCCTCTCCCTCCCTCTCTCCTCTCTCCCTCTCTCCCTCTCTCTCCTCTCTCCTTCTCCTCTCCCTCTTTCTTCTCTCTCCCTCTCTCCTCTCCCAACCTCTCTCCTCTCTTCCTCTCCCTCTCTCCTTTCTCTCCTCCTCCTCTCCCTCTTTCTTCTCTCTGTCTCTACTCTCTCCTCTCTCCCTCTCTCCTCTATTCCTCTCCCTCCCTCTCTCTCCCTCTCCCCTCTCCCTCTCCCTCCCTCTCCCTCTCTTCCTCTTTCACTCTCTCCTCCTCCTCTCCCTTTCTCCTCTCTCCCTCTCTCCCTTCTCTCTTCCTCTCCCTCCCTCACCTCTCTCCCTCTCCTCTTTTCCTCTCCCTCCCTCTCTCCCTCTCTTCTCTCCTCTCTCCCTCTCCCTTCCCCTCTTCCTCTCACTCCCTCTCTCTCTCCCTCTCTCCTCTCTCCCTCTCTCTCCCTTCTCCTCTTTCTCTCCCTCCTCCCTCCCTCTCTCCCTCTCCTCTCTCTCCCTCTCTTCTCTCCTCTATCTCTCCCTCCCACTCTCTCCCTCTCCCAACCTCTCTCCTCTCCTCTATCCCTGCCCTCTCTCCCTCCCTCTCTTCCTCTCTCTTCTCTCTCTCCCTCCCTCTCTCTCTCCCTCTTTCTCCCTCTCCTCTCCCTTTTCTCTCCCCTCTCCCTCTCTACTTCCTCCCTCTTCTTGTTCTCCTCTTTCTCCCTCTCCTCCCTCCTATCCTGTCCTCTCTCTCCTCTTCCTCCCTCCCTCCCCCTCCCTCCCCCATTCTCGCTCTTTCCTTCCTATCTTCTCTCCTTCGCCCCCTCCCTCCCCTCCCTCCCCCAGCTCCAAGGCTCCCCCACTGCTGTCTAATAAAGCAGATTCTCTCACCTCTGCCTTCTCCTTCCTTCTCTGCTCTGCGCCTGCTCAGTGGGATGGGGAATGAGGACGGGGCTGCAGCACCATCCCCTGCACACTGAAGGGTGCGTGCTGCTCTTATCCAGGGCCACACCCATCGGTGCTCCAGGGTACTCCCGGCTTGGTGCTCATTCGGAACCACGTGGTGCCGGGGCTGGATGTCAGGGGCGCTCCTCGCCCTCCATCCTGCACTGCCTTTCCGCCAGAGGGCGCCCGTGTGCAGGATTTCCCTGCACTCCGCGCCCCTCTCCAGGGTGGGCAATGAGTGGGGGGCGGGGTGGGACGCTTTCGCCAGTGCGCATGCTCCTCGTGCCTGCCGCGTGTCCCCCTTTCCTCTGGGCATTTAAGTGCCCTCTTCGCTCCCGATTCTGTCGTGCTCACTGCTACCCTCTTCTGCTGCGGGGCGTACGGAACACGGACAGCCCGTCACGCTGCGAGGCCGGGCGCAGGAGGACAGCTGGCTCCGGGGGGCTGGCCGCAGGGCTGTCCCCTCATCTGGGTGCCCTCCTGTCTCTCCCCTCGGTCTTTCTCCAACTCTCCTGCTCTCCTTCAAGTCGCCCCACTTCCGTTTCTTATCCACTCCTCCCCATCTCTCCATCTCTTGTCTCTCTCCATCCCTCTAGACTCTTCCCCGTCTCCTTGTCTCTGTCTCTCCCCATATCTCCCCTACCTCCCGATCTCTCCAGTCACTCCCCATCTCTCTCCGTCTCTCCCATATCTCTGTCTCTCTTGTCTCTCTTGAGCTCGTCTCTATCTCTCCCCGTCTCTCCTGTCTTTCTTCATCTGTCTCTCCTGTCTCTCTCGTCTCTCCCCATCTCTCCCATCTCTCTCCCGTCTCTCCCCACCTCCCTGCCTCTCATTCTCTCATCTCTCCCCATCTCTCCCATCTCTCTCCATCTTTCCACATCTCTCTTGTCTCTGACTCTCAGTCTCTCTCTGTGTCTCCTATCTCTCCAGTCATCTCTCTCCAACTCTCATCTCTGTCCATGACTTCCATCTCTTTCCGTCTCTCCCATCTCTCCTTCTCTCTTGTCTCTCCCATCTCTCCCCCTCTCTCCATCTGTCTGTGCCTATCTCTCCCTATCTTTCTTCATCTCTTGTCTCGCCCCATATCTCCTGTCTCCCATCTCTCTCCATCTCTCCTGTCTCCCCCATCTTTCCCCCTCTCGTCTCTCCCTCTCTCTCTGTCCCTCTATCTCTTCTATCTCCATCTCTCATTTCTCCCCATCTCTCCTACCTCTCCCATTGCTACACATCTCTTGTCTCTCCCCATATCTCCCCTATCTCCCGATCTCTCCAGTCACTCCTTATTTCTCTCTCTCCATCTCTCCCATCTCTCCTGATCTCTCCCATATCTCTGTCTCCTGTCTCTCTTCAGCTCATCTCTGCCTCTCCCCATCTCGTCTCATCTCTCCTTTCTTCATCTGTCTCTCCCGTCTCTCTCCATCTCTCCTGTCTCTCCCGTCTCCCCCATCTCTCGTCTCTCCCGTCTCCATCTGTATCGTCTCTCCCATCTCCCATCATCTCTCATCTCTCCTGACTCCCTTAATCTCTCTTGTCTCTACCATCTTACTCCAACTCTCTTGTTTCTCCTGTCTCCATCTCTCCTGTCTCTCCCATCTTCCTCCATCTCTCCTGACTCTCCCGTCTTCCTCCATCTCTCGTCTCTCCCATCTCCCTCCATCTCTCATCTCTTCTGTCTCCCTCCATCTCTCATCTCTCCTGTCTCTCTCCATCTCTTTCGTCTTTCCCATCTCCATCTCTCCTGTCTCTACCGTCTCCCTTCATCTCTCCTGTCTCTCCCATCTTCCTCCATCTCTATCGTCTCTCCCATCTCCCTCCATCTCTCTCATCTCTCCCGTCTCCCTCCATCTCTCATCACTCCTGTCTCCCTCCATCTCTCATCTCTCCTGTCTCTCTCCATCTCTCTCGTCTCTCCCATCTCCCTTCATCTCTCCTGTCTCTCCCGTCTTCCTCCATCTCTATCATCTCTCCCAACTCCCTCCATCTCTCCCATCTCTCCTGTCTCCCTCCATCTCTCTCGTCTCCATCTCTCTCGTCTCTCCCGTCTCCCTCCAGCTCTCATCTCTCTTGTCTCCTTCCATCTCTCCTGTCTCTCCCGTCTCCCCCATCTCTCTCGTCTCCCTCCATCTCTCATCTCTCCCATCTGCATCTCTGTTGTCTCCATCTCTCTCGTCTCAACCTGTCTCCCTCCATCTCTCTTGTCTCTCCCATCTCCCTCCATGTCTCTCATCTCTCCCATCTCCCTCCATCTCTCGTCTCCCTCCATCTCTCGTCTCTCCCGTCTCCCTTCATCTCTCCTGTCTCTACCATCTCGCTTCATCTCTCCCGTCTCCCTCCATCT